AGTGTGTTCCTTGCACTCCACGCTCTTTTTTCCTCGTGGTCACTGCACGGAGGGCTTGGGGGACCCATCGCCTGGGCTCCCGAAGGGCAGCGTTGGGTGCTGTGGACTAAAGCTCCCCAGCCTGAGGCCACTTGTCCCTGTGCCTGTCACCGCTCCGCTTCCAGGCCTGGGTAGCACACAGGAAACATCACTGGCACCACCAGAGGGGAAGGAGATTCCTCCTGTCTGGCAGCATTTGTTGATCTTGTCTTGACCTTTTTGCTTTCTCAAACTCGTGCCTGTCGCAGTGGAAACTTGAGGCTTTTGTTCTTCTGTCCTCAGCGGGGACATCAGCCAGCTGAGCTGTGTCCCCAGAGACCCTGCCTGGGTCCTCTTCCCCTGGGCACTGCCACCCTGCCACGAGTGCAGGGACGTGGTTTGGGAGCTCCACTGCCAGGGCGGGAGGAGGGAGCGGGGCACCGGGCAAGGAGGGCATGGAGGGACGCGGGGGTGTGCTCCAGCTGTAGGCTGGCAGGACTCAGCCTGGTGCATGGGGCTCTTGCTGTCCTGGGGAGCTGCAGGGACCCCTGGAATAGCACAGCGGTCAGGCATTGCCCTCTCCTTCCCTGGTAACCTCTCTGTTCCTCCCCCAGGTCTTCCTCATGATGTTTGTCGTCTACTTCGTGGTGTCTGAGTCACTGTCCATCAAGAAGGAGGGCAGATCCTACTTCACCCTGTGGAGCAACTACGGCCAGTGGGTCTTCATCCTCCTCACCACCTGCACCGTGGTAGTGCACCTCAGCCAGGCCACCCTGGCTGACCAGCAGTGGCTCAAGTACCTCAACAACCGCAAAGGTTTCACCAACTTCTACCAGGTGGCCTTTCTCAACACCATCTTCAGCACCTTGGCTGCGTCCCTCCTCTTCCTCCTGACCGTGCAGGTATGGAGAGGGTTGGGTGGGAGCAGGGATGTGTGCTTTGGTCCTCCTGTGCCAGCGTGTCACCTGTGCACAGTCCCATGGCAGGGGTAGGAAAGGGCCCTGAAGTCAAACCAAGTGCAGTACTGGGGTCCTACTGTGCCGGGCATGGATCAAATGCCACAGGGCTGCTGCCACATCCAGACTCTACTGCAGGAACGAGGTGGTGGGCACTGGTGCCCTGTGTGTCTCTGCTGTAGCACTTTTGGTCTCTAAAGCCTCTGGGCCCTCCGTTCTCTTGGGGAATTCAGCCTCGTGGCTGATGGGATGACTTCATCTGCGTGGAGCCCGTTGGCTCCCATGGCCTCTGCTCTGCCAGAGTTCGTGTTTCTCAACCTTGCTGAGATGTTGGAAAGACCCTTCCCAGGGCTGGAGGGATCTCGCAGCAGCCCTTGCGATGGGCCCATGTCGTGACACCGTCCCCTCTCTGCCCTAGGCTGCCCAGCAGCTGCGTTTTGTCCGGCAGTGGTCCGTGTTCGGGAAGACGTTTCAGAAGTCCGCGAAGGAGCTGACTGCTGCGGGGTTGGCGTTCGCCGTCCTCGTCCTGGCCTACGCTCAGCTCGGCTTCCTGGTAACTGCCCGCACTCCCCCTGCGCCCGGCAGAGGGGTTGGTGGTCAGCAAGGGCTGCCCAGGGGCGTGCTGCTGCCCATCCCTCCTCGTGCCATGGCTGCGAGTGGAGCCCAGCGGGTGCTGCGGGTGTTCAGTGCCCAGCTGGCGCGGGGGCTTTGGCTGCCCCAAACCAGGGGCTTTGGCCATGGGCTGCTCCTCGGGGCTTTCTAAGATGGGTAGTGAGTATCAGAGGTCAAGGGGATGTTGTGCCACTGATCCCTTCTCATTACACCTCTAATATCCCCTTTGCAGCTCTTCTCCTCCTCCTCGGAGTCCTTCCGCAGCGTCGGCAGCAGTGCTCTTGGCCATGCTGCGGGGCAGCGTCAACCTCTGCCCCTGCCCACCTGAGTCCTCCGGCCTCTGCTACCTGTTCTGCACCAGCTACATCGTCCTGGAGGTGTGGATCGTGCTGAGGCTCTTCGCCGTGGTGCTCATCTACAGCTACCGGGAAATGCACTTCGAGCTGTACCGCCCTGCCTTCGAGCCCCAGGACTACGAGATGGTGGAGCTCTTCGTGCGCAGGCTGAAAATGTGGATGGGCTTCAGCAAAGCCAAGGAGGTGAGTGCAGCCTGGGAGACTCCTGGGAGCAGGCAGCAGGCTGGAGAGCTTTGCAGAGAACCAACGTCCGTCCGCAGCCCTTAACCTGCCTTTGCCTCTGGCTGCTTCCCGCTGCTGTTCCCTCTGGCAGGGGGGGGCTGGGGGGGGATCCAAGAGCTGGGTTGGTGATGGGGTGTTGTAGGGGCATCTGCTGTCGATCCTCAGTCCCACAGTTCTATGTGTTTTCATCTGGGATCTCTCCCGGGTCCGTGCCGTAGCCTGGCCCACCAGGAACGACTGGGAGTAGCCCTGGGGCTGTTTGGAGCAGGACACAGTGCCACGGCACGGCGTTCCCACTTCCCAGCTCCTGATATCGCTCTGCCCTCTGCTCCTCTTCTCTTCCAGTTCCGGCACAAGGTGAGGTTCGAGGGGATGGAGCCGCTGCCATCCCG